TCTAGTTTTAGTTCAGTAAAAATATACAACATAGTAATATCTTATGCTAAATAGCGCTACCTACCACTGCCAGTAGAACTAACACTAGACCGAGAACTAGAAACATTCGGATTTAGCCGCACGTCTCTCAAAACGGCTAAACCCGAATAATTCTAGTTCTAGGCCTTGGGTTAGTTCTAGTGATAGTGTTAGTGTAAAACTAGCATAGTGTTAGTGAAAAACTAGCACTATCACTAGCAGTCTAAAGACGCACGGCTAAACCCGACATTTTCTAATTCTAGGTCTAGTATTAATTCTACTTTTAGATCAATAAAAAATATACAACATAGTAATAGCTTATGCTAACTAGCGCTACCTACCACTGTCACTAGAACTAACACTAGACCGAGAACTAGAAACATTCGGATTTAGCCACACGTCTTTCAAGACGGCTAATGAATGATTCTAGTTCTAGGTCTTGTATTAGTTCTAGTTTTAGGTCAATAAAAATATACAACATAGTGATATTTTATGTTAACTAGCGCTACCTACCACCTACCAGCCGTCTTAAGAGAGGTACAGCTAAACGGAATGTTTCCAGTTCTAGTGCTAGTATCAGTCTAATTTTATTTGTTATTCAGCGCTAGATTATTGTATATTTTTATTGAGCTATAACGGACACTGCCTTCCCCGTATTAATCCGTTAAATCGAGGTTTTTGTATAATATCAAATTATATTGCATTTTATGTGGGACAAAGTAAATATGTACTCCCTGCTTTTTATTATATTCAACGAAATAAGTAATTAAATTCGTAACTACAGTTTATATAAAATCCTCTCTGCTTTTAAAACTCCCACCAAAAAAATAGCTTTGAAAAATTACACTGTGTAAACGTGACTTTTCATTTTACTCCTCTGAATTAAATAGAGTATTGTAATGTTATTGTCTAACGTTAAAAATTAAGTGATATAAATAGAGATCGGATTTAATTGATTTAATCCGACGGAAAAACATTAGTTACTTTAGAGACTGTAAAAGCGTAAAGGTTAAGACCCTCTCTAAATATTTGCGAAATAACTTTAGCGTTGTCTAATTGTAAGTCTACAGATGTAGAACGTGCACAGAAAATTGTGCTTTCGAAGTTGAGGAAGATAATCAAATAATACTAAAGCAGAAACGATCGAATGAATTGAAAACGATCAATAAGATTTTACGATTTCATAACGTCATTTGAAATGAATTTATTCCAGTCATTAGTGTATAAAAGGCAGTATTAGGATAAAGAAAAGTAGTGATTAACGTTTAATAATAAATAAATATCTAATATACTATAATAACTAAACATATAGAAAATATTCAAAAACAGTTTTGTTACAATGTACGTAGATATCTAGAGGTAATTTTCTTCTATTAACCTGGGTGTTAATTTTCTTCTTGCTAAGTTCCTATGACTGGAGGCCTCAATTATTTGGACCCGTTTATGAAATCGTGATGTAATTTCTCTAATGGACGTTTAATGTTATCGATTTTTAGTTCTTGTGTAACTGATCATTGGAAGTATACCATTGCAATTTTAACGTAGCTTTTTCTTTTTGTAGCATATCGCATTTTTTGATGATAGATTTAGTAAATAACCAAACATATACAAGGATATTAACTTAATGAGACTTTTGAATATTAAAATAGCGTTCTGATATTCTAAATACCATTTTCTCAGGGTTAGTATTTTCACGTCTTTAGAATATCATTAGAGTATACATAAAACATTACCAACGAAGTGCTAATACGTAAAGATAAAGATAAACATATGTTGTTACTAAAAGTTTGAGATTAAGCACATATAACAGGTTTTGTCATATATTTAGACGTACCTATAGCTACATTAAATGAGATTTTTTGGAGTATTTTCTTAAGACTTCAGTTGTTGGGTACCAATCTCTTTATAAATTAAAGTGTATTGGACTTCTTTAAAGTTTGAACTTATTATTGAATAGTGAGCTTCAATTAACGTAATTCAACTTCAAATTTGGTTCGCTGAAGTGGTGAGGAGTGAGTATCTCATCTAAATATTTTCCAATGCATCACATTTTTGTCAATCATATTATTCAATAAATAAAATTGTTACTAAAGAAAAATTGAACAATTAATACACTGTTATATATGATTATATATGATTATATATATGATTTTGTCAATCATATTATTCAATAAATAAAATGGTTACTAAAGAAAAATTGAACAATTAATAAACTGTTATTATAAATTATAGTACCAAAGCTATCTTCGATGATTTAGTTAAAGATTATTGAAGACTTATTTTATAGATGAAGGGTCAAACTCATCATCTGTAACTTACCCCTGTTTTGTTTTTTAATGTTTGTCTTTCCTGTTGGCAGAGTGTTTTTTTTTAATTGAAATGAATTATTATGTCAGGTTATAATTTCATTTTCATAATAATTGGAATTGGATTTAACGTGTGCACCATATAAATAAAATAAAACCTGGTTTGCGGAAAACCTTGATTCAAGTCTCACCGCTGCTAATTTTTCCTGTCAGTAATTACTGTCGTGTTTTGACGTGTAAAGGTAGTCTTCCTTGTAGTTGTTTGATTTATAAATTACATTATGCGTCACATTAAATATGCATCACATACTCGGTCCGTTATGTGTTCAGTTAACAGCACTATTACCAAGAATTTTTTTTTGTATATAGGTATGATACCAGCTTTTTTTGGTATAATTGCAAGCATGTTAGAAGTTCCTGTTTGTATTTTGCAAGAAGAAGAGATTAATTTTCATAAAAGTTGACAATTAGGCAGTTACATTTAGATGGTTATCCAATACAAGGGTTGAGGTTGCCGGGATTTTAATTGTGCTATACTGTTATGTAAATTTCTGGAGAATGTCTCTGTATCGAGTTCACGAGCACAGAAATAACTCAAGTGTAGTACTCTTCCTCCATCGAGTTTCACGGTAAGAATCTGATAACGACGACCGGATCTGAGTGCCTTCATTTTTTTCAGATTCATCGTTACCCAAAACCGTAAATTATTTCACTTGGTTCGCTGGAGATTTTCACATTTCTGCCCGTCTGACAGATTCTTTGCAGACACAAATGGTTTCTATGCAGGTTTGAGAATTTTCAATTTTCTTCGCTGTAGGAAATTGAAAAAATTCGCCTCAGTAGCAAACGACGTTGGCTAAATTTAGAACGGAAGTTCGTCTAATTATGCCGAGGTTGCTTGTAGCCGAGACTCTTCAATTAATATTGTATCAATTCAAAACCCACTGAAACGCTTCGACCTGAGCTAAACTTCAAAAACGCAGAATCTATGATTTTGCCTGATTAAGCCAAAGTCGCTTGCAACCGACGATCTATTGCTGATATCATATCAAAATAAAACTGGTCGATACATGGTGTTAAGAATCTTTAACTTTTCTCTTTTAGTGTACAGATGATCTAACGTTTTGTAAATAAATTCTCACAATTTTAACAAATTTATATCAAATTCTATATGATTTCCATCAGATTTATGATAGCTAGTAAGAAAATTAATTTAGTTAAATAGTATTTACATTGATATAAAACATATTAACAAGACACATTTATGTGCGTAAATTGGTAATTAAAGGAACTATTAAAATTGAGAAAGTAGATTTTCTACTGCAACTAGAAGAGACAATAATAAAAAAAGATTTGTAAATTTAAAGTTAGTTGGGGCATCATTCAATAATAATCCAACATAACTAAAATAGCATAAAATAAAATAATAAAAATATAAAATGCAGTGTTATATAATATCTATTAACATAACATCATACCATATTAATATGCAAGAAACGGCAATTCATTTAACTATCAATACTATTTACTATTCATTCCTCTTTGGTAATTTTAATTATATGCTACGCCTTTTTTACATACCAACCAATACACAAAATACTAAGAATTAGACTAATTTCTAGAAATTACTCTATCGGAATATTTAATGTCGACAGATAACTGGAGTAGCATTCATCGCCACCTGTTAATTGTGTGTGAATTGAAAATGATCGCAGAATTTATATTACCTTCAATGAGTCAATGAGTGGTCAATAAATATTAAAGGATTAAACATATAATTGAAATACATTTAAAACAGAATAAAAATTTCTTCATATCTTTTTTCCTATTGATTGAACACTTTAAAATCGACGTTACATGGACGATACACGTCGATTACATTCCCGTAAACACAGCATTTAATTAATTTAGATAAAACGTATATATGAAAATCTCGGGCTTGAATTGCTCAATAACATTGCGGGCTACGCGACGAGAAAACCACCGAAGGAAACTCATAACCGTAAAATTCCAGTAAACGCTATCGGCTGCATCGAATATTAACCGAGTGCCATTTAATACACGTCTAAACGACACATTAAAAGTGCAAATAATCTCACTTCTTAAGCAGTTTCGAACAACTTAAGATGTTCTCTGTTTTAATGAGTACATTCAAAGTGGATGATGGCGTGGTTTAATTAGATTACCTCAATTTGTAAATCAATTTGTAAATTAAAAGTATTTAGAAAATTGTTAGAAACGTAAGAAATAGGTGGTGTTCGGGTTACACACCTATTTCTTGTATTGAATCTACTCTATTAGGTATTAAGGACCAGATTCGGTTTGAAACCGATCTCTTTTGCTTGTGGTATAGTCGGTAATTTAACGTAGAACCCAATCGAAACGGACCGCGATTACGCAAACCAGCTTCAGAAGGACGCATAAATTTCCCCCTAACATCCTTTAAAGGCAAATACCGACTGCGGTAAATACAAAATCCGGGACGATCTTGCGGCCTGTACCACACGGATAAATAGCACTCCCATTGCCTCCTTAATTAAGATTTATAACTTGAGATAACGCCCTGTTTGTAATCATCGCCCGGAAGTGTCCGATTTTAATCCATCCAGGACACTTTTAACTTGTCCGAAGAGATAAGTATTTTCGCTATTACTGTTAACTTTTGTTCTCACTTACCATCTCCGGATGTAGCCACGTGCGATCCGCTTTCACCTGCAATTAAAAACAAAATATGTATTAAATCGGAGAGTTAAGGGAAAAAATGATTGCGTGGAGGCGGCATTTTATTGGTCCATAAAATTTGATCTAGCGGTTCGAAAACGGGGAAGCTATAAACGTCGCTTGTCCAGTTACAGTTATGAATGGACGGTTGTATGGTCCGAACGGGAGATTTGAGAATACGTAATGTGGGTTAAATGTGCATTGGTTGGTTACTTGAAATCATGGACCCGTTCAACTTTCTGCAATAAATTTATAATAGGAAACGAGAAAACCAATAATATACATGGATAAAGTAATCATATCATTTCAGTTATTGTTATTTTGTTGTTTATACCATATTTTGTAATAAAAGGGAATAAATTATAACTAAACCATTTGCTTATATTTGCATTTGCTTGCATTTAGAAAGTTAAAAAATCTTAATAAAGAAGAATTATCAATTGAACTTTAACTTATGACATTTTTGTTTAAGGATTTTACTATTACAGTAAAACGTCGATATTGTTAGACCTAGAACTAGAAACGTTCGGGTTTAGCCGTGCGTCTCTTAAGGTTACTCAACCTGAATGTTTCTAGTTCTAGGTCCAGTGTTAGTTGTAATGCTAGTGTTGGTTCTAGTTTTAGTTGTTATTCAGCGTAAGATTGTTGTATATCTTTCATTAAACTAAAAGTGGAACTAACACTAGACCTAGAACTATATAGCCGTGCGTCTTCAGACGAAACGTTCTAATTCTAGGTCTAGTGTTAGTTCTAGTTTTAATCGTTATTCACCGCTAGATTGTTGAATATTTTTACTGAACTAAAAGTTGAACTAACACTAGACCTAGAACCAGAAACATTCGGGTTTAGCCGTCTTAAGAGACGCATGGCTAAACCCGAATGTTTCTAGTGTTAGTCCCAGTGCTAGTAGGACTTTTGGCTATAACAGACACTCCTTTCTCCGTATTAGTTCGTTATGATGATGAGATTTTCCTATTAATTATTTTTTATCCATGCAAATATATTTACATACTTGGAATATCAATAATATTTAAAAGGGCATCTAATGATTAATCTTCCTATTTGTAAAGATTAAGATAGCCATAATAATATGCACTGTCAATGGTTATTTGTATAGCGAATTAACTCACTCCCATTTCCAATTACTGAAATAAACGGGAATGATTACTAAAGACATAATTAACAATCCATCGACAATTTCTAATTGCAACTCTCGGAAAAGGTTAATATCTGTACTTCATATATATGGAGAAAGTCTTAATATACGGTGAGTTATAAAGATTTAGATACGATCTATAGATCGATGACGAACGAATTGATTGTTTATAGCGATTTGTCTTATAAGGAAATGTTAGGAAACCGTGAGATTTATTGGGTAATAAATTAAATTAAGGTAGATAATGGGAAAGGGGGCAAGATTGTATGCGGTATTTATTGATATGTGTCAGCGAATTTAATAATAAAATGTATGATCGGTAGGAACTAGTAGGTAACGTTATTTCCGGGAGATTATGTACTGAAAGTAAACAGTAGTTGCTTAACGCCGCGCTTAAGTGAATTTTTATTGATCTTTATGTTAATCCTATTTTTCCTGTCTTAAATAAATCCTTATTTATATGTGTGATAACTTTAACATTCCAAGCGGGTAAATCGTAAATTATTTGAATCAACTCAAAGAATTTTCTACTTAGAAAATCGTTTCATACGAAAGCAGCTCGTTTTATCTCGCATTATATATCTTTCAGTAAGTGCTTTCACCATTGTCGCAAATTGGCCAGGCATGTAATCTAATCTCTAGGTCTTGCAGATAAGACAACACTTTCGTTTCGAATAGCAGCAACGTTATTTCTTCGCGGCCAAACCATTTACGTAACGTTTCTTAGAATTCATAGATTATTCCTTGAGCACGTACAAAAGAAACCCAATCTGCTTAGAGAGACTTCGATCAATATTAAACCAGATTATAAAATTTCTGTTCTCATAATAGCGTAATGGTAATGATGGGAAGTACAATTTTTGATGGCCAACAAAAGAATCAGAATAAGGTTATATAGTTAATGGAAAATCTGATTTAACTAAGAAAGAGGTTTGGAGAGGCTATTGTCGTTTGGGAATATTCGGGAATATATTTTGATCGCTCGGACGCGCGGCTATCATAAAAGAAACCGACATAATAATGGGGCTTTGTGCTTGACGGAAATTTTGTCTCCTAGATGTGAGCTTTAACCGTCACGCTTTCCACTTGTTACGACTTTTTTTTGTCGCGCACTTGCCGGACGATTGTTACATAAATTGACGAAAAAATTATTACGAAGAAAATTACGAAATTACAGTAAATAATAAATTAAAATTGTTTTGAATCTTTAAATTTCAAAATACCAATAGAAACTTCGATACTAATTTTATATAACCACAAAGTATGTGGTAAAATATTAAAGAAAATCATTAATTTTTAAAGTTTATGACTCACTTCTCACTTTATTATAATAGTTTCTCTTGTACCCACAAGGTATTCTTTTGGGAAACAACGTCTAATTAGCGTTACTTGTTAGTGGATTAATGTCTAGTGTTAGTAAATAGTACATAAATGTGGGCAATTATTTGTAATATTTGAAACGCGTTTTAACGTCGCCGCTCTAAATTAGAGTTTCATGCAAATGAATTATGAAATCGGAACTACACCGTGAATTAGCGGTTTATCTTATCTCAATATCGTCGAGATTCGGATATAGTTTATATTGTCAATGTGAATTCAGATAATATATGTTGCAATATTAATTTGAAGGTTTTTATTTGATAAAGATTAAACTTGTAGTAATCATAGATTTATTTGAAATAATGAATAATTTTTTATTCTATAAATATTGGTGCTTTAAGTAAGATTTAAAACAGAAACGAAGTGTTGTAAAGTACATATTAGTTATTTAAATTATCAAGAAGATGGATGAAACGAAAATCAATAATTAATGCAAATCGAAGAAAGATAATGTCATCAATAATGTCAGTTTTAAGGAGAAATATAATTAGTCTTATTACTCCTTTGAATTTCCCTTAAATAAAACTAAACCTTCGCCAAATTGTCTGAATTAGATGAAAAAATGTTAAAAAGTGTAGCTTGAACGGACAATAAAAAGACATTGTGGAGCATATTGATACAAGATAATACACCAATCGAATTACTAGATATTAAAATTTTTCGAGGAAGTTATGAAACTTGCACACTTTTTATGCACCTCAAGCAAACACTGTGTTCCCATTCTGAGCATTCAACGAGAATGTATTGATATGCTAAAGTGATGTAAAAATCTGAGCTCAATATCACCAATTATTTGAAATGTCTCTTAGTATTAGAGAAAAGTAAGGCGTGTTGCGTAGTATTCCAAAAACTATATACAGGGTGTATCTGAATGACTGCAACAAACTTCAAGGGGTGATTCTTTAGTGAATTTTAAGGGTACTTTGATATATGAATTATGGGCGACTTCGGCTCCCCTAAGGAGCTACACCCCTCCAAAAATAGCGGAAAATTTTGGTTTAATTTCTTTTTCTCAAAAACCATAAACGCTAGGAAAATGAAATTTGGGGAATATGTTTAACTCATAATAGGACACGTTTTGACCCTATTTGTACTTTCAATCTACCCTTCTATTATCGATTATTCCACATCAGAGAGACAAAAAAGTTTTAGAATAGTATTATCTATCTACTGAAAATTTTCCAATGTATTTATCATCTTCATAAAAGAAATCTAGGCATAAATTGAACGGGGGTGGTTACGTTTAGTAGTTTAGAAGGGTAGGTTGAGAGTACAAATAGGGTCAAAACGTGCCCTATTATGAGTTAAACATATTCCCCAAATTTCATTTTTCTAGCGTTTATGGTTTTTGAGAAAAAAAATTAAACCAAAATTTTCCGAAGGGGTGTAGCTCCTTAGGGGAGCCGAAGTCGCCCATGGTTCATATATCAAAGTACCCTTAAAATTCACTAAAGAATCACCCCTTGAAGTTTGTTGCAGTCATTCAGATACACCTGTATATAGATCATTTACGGCCAATAAATAAGTATTGTAAAAGTAAACAATATATTCTGCTTCCACGTGGCCTAATGAACTACTAATGGTTGGTGAATGATAATAACGTGCAACATGTTCTAATCGTAACTGGTTTACCTGATGCAATACGACAAGTTGAAGTAGTAAATTGTACAACAACAACAATAAAAATAAATTGATGTTCAATTGATGATAAACACAAAGATTTAGTGTACATAAAAACAGTAATAGTACTGTGATACCAAGTAAACATCTTTTAATCTCAATATCTACAGAATTCAACATAATAATAATATATTATCCATAAGAATTTGTACAATATATTCGTTACAATAAGGTGTTATTCACAATCAGATTCTACTTTTAAGATTTATGGAAAGAACATGGGAATGAACATGATCTTCTGAACCATAAATTTATTAGAATGAATGTTTTAACGAAGAAGGCAATACGTTTAGAGTTTTCTTAACCTGTTTATGGAACTTGTGTGTATGACACATTTGTTAAATAATTTAGTAATTACTAAATAGCAATAACTATTAATTTAGCAATTACGACTGGGTATCTTAAAAACGTTCTGACCAAAATAAATTCTTGTAATACTCCAGACTATTGGCTATGTTGTCATGATATACTTTCTAAAAGCAGAAGTTCAGAAAATGGTAATTCTGGTGGCAGCAAAAAGTTGATAGCCAAATTTATTGACAAATTATCTGTTTACAAGAAACGAAAGTCTATACAAGAAACACGCAGATTTTGACAACATGAGCCGAACAAAACCTCCAGGAGACCAGGAAGTTGAAAAGAATAGCTCATAAGGAGTCTATAATATCGCTATATGAATATAACACCTCATGTACGGTGCTGGAATGACAGAGTGGTAGTTGTTTAATGTTGTTTTTAGATTTTTCTCAACATTCGTTTTTCTGAACTAATGAACAAAATATCTCTATATCTATTCCAACGATTTTGATGAAGTTCATTTCACATATTATTATATATCCAGATTCCACATATTAATTGGATGTATAGTTGATTGTATTGGTGTTAAGTAGATTTTACTTTGTCGAAAGGCTGTCTTTTCATTGTGTAACGCAGCATAATTTTAACCTGTGTTGTCTGAAAAATAATGTTTGGTATTGTATATTTATTTGCCTTTCAGTAAATACAGTCTATATCCCATGAAACAACGTTGGAACAAAGGTTATGAATGATAATTTATTAACAACAACATCTGAATGCAAACATTGTAGGGCTGTTGTGGAAAGATGTGAAGATCAAGTATTGATATGGGATTTCATAAATGATTTGAAGAACCAAAAGTACGAATTTCTGTAGTAAATAGTTAGCTTCTGAACAGAAAAGTGAAACCACTCTCATATGAACCACTGGTGAAGTTAGTATAAAACGCCTATTAAACAAAATAGCATTAATTTATTTGTCGATTTAAGTACTGCGACATTAATTTTCCTCCGTGCGTCATCTAGATGATTCCGGGAAACCGACTGAACAACAACAAACGTCAACAAATTAATTATCTCCCGGAATAATTCGATTTAATGTTCTAATCTTCTATCCCAATTTTCTTTCTTATATTAGATTCTTAGAATAATAAAAAAAATATATTCTTTAATGTTTAGAGGAAAGCTTAATGGGATGTTAGAGCTAATGATATTTTCAAATGCTTATTGTTTAACTCCTTTTCTGTATATTGTAAGTATGCAAATATGAAAATTCGTTCATATTTTTTACAGTTTAACCACAAAATAATATAAAAAGTAAAGTTGATTTTTACTATACATAAAGTCTCTGCTCTGCATATTTTGTTAAACTTAAATTCCGAAATACACTGACTGTAAGTTGCTGAAACATTTGACGAATACACAGACTTAATACATCCGTGTTAACCACCTATCAAAAGAAATTAAGAAGTTTCATCATAAATTAGATTATAATAATAGACTTTTGAACTACATATATCACATTTTATTTATCAAACAACATCAAATTGAACTAGAAGAAACGATTTTTCAAGCTAAAATTCACAAAAGATGAACTTGCCAATGCTTGGAACAGGAAACAGGAAAAATTAACTAAACTGAGAAATAAGAAACTAAAAAATTTGAATAAAACTAACTTAATTTCACCCACTAATGAACAAGGGTCGCAAATATAGCCTTACACCACAGGGACAGAATCTACCTAAACTATCCATTGCACTTGAAACTGCTGCTCACAACACACCAAAAGAGGAAAACTTAAGGAAGGACCTAATTGACTGACTAAAAAGGAAGGAGGGGGAATCTAACAGGACATTGTAACTATGCAAATAAGAAAATTCGTTCATAATTTTTATAATTTAACCAAAAAAAAAATTGTAGTAATCAGAACGTGTTTTAACGATTCTGAAGTAGTTAAACAGTTTATAGAAGCAAAGCATCTGTCATTATCAATAATGTAAGAACTCTTGAAAACTTTTGATTAAAAACTAATCATTAATTACTGATGAATTTATAGATAAAATATCATTTAAAACCCTAGATTGGCATGTTTTTGATGAGAGTGTAGCAAAAGATGCTTTACTTCCCGTATCTAGCGGTACCACAGACACTTAATATAATAACCGTTATGAATCTCTTTAAATGTCATGAAATAAATCCTAAAAACTGCCATGTTTTCATTTTAGATGTGATGTAAATGATAGCGTTATAATTGGCAACTAAATTAAAACGAGATATACATAATATGTAGGTATTTTCATTTTTTTTTTTTTATAATATTAATATTCAGTCAAGTTGTTCTTTAGATAGTTTTTGGTTACAATACATTAACTGCGTATAGTCCTAACTTTATTAACACTTATTACAAAGCTTAAATGTTTTAGTGACAACACAGCCTTAATCAATGGGTAAGAATTATTTTATTGAATTCAAAAAAGGTAACTTCATCTTTATTTTAATATAAAATTACTTGCTTCGATAAATAAATCTTAGTATGATCTTTTAAATTCCCTGAACTTCTTAATGATTCAGTAAACAGAATTTTCTTGTATTAAATCTTTTCGTTTTGAGATTTATAACAAAATCTCCCTTATTGTAATGTCAATCTGACATTAATAGTCGAGTTTTACGACGTTAAGCATTCACGGCCGATCGCGTATAACCAATCGGCGAGCCATCGATCAACGTTTTAGTCCGTTCGCGGAACGAATACGAAATGAGATAGATCAACGACGGGCGGATATAATTTAAGAGGTGTGTAAAATGCGGCTTAATTGGCCCGCGACGGACCAGGTGAATCAAGAGAACACTTTAAAGCCTGAAGCGGACGACGTCTGAACGTCATTCGCCTCCCATGGCGGCGGGATCGACGACGGGAATCGTCCGGGTTTTGCGGGACACCATCTCGGGACATGAGCAGGCACAGCACGTGTCTTGTTCGGCGTGTACGACATCTGAAACCTGGCCGTTTGCTCCTCTTCAAGAGGTATGCACGGCCCGCGCCCCGTTATTTATGACTAAACTGGATGGCTGAAGCTCTCTTTCGCCCAGAGCCCATCCCGCCGTGGCCCGTGTACTTTTCAGAATGCGACGAGAACATGATCGTCATGAGAGATGTGTCAGCGTCATTGACGTACCATGTACGCAAAATAACATCGGTCTATCTTTTTACAAACAAAATAAACAAGTAGATACTACTCTATGAGATCCTAGAACCAAGACCTAACACATCTCTATTTTACTCCATTATAAATAATTTCAAAAAATTAAATACAACTTACGTTTCTTCTTCTGTTCAGCTTCCTGTTGATGTATTACACTGGACGATGGATCCAACATCATGGAGTGTCCCAGGTGACCACCATGACCACCTGGTTGACACTCCATCGTGATCATAGCACCCTCTATGGTGAAGAATCACTGCAACAAACACAAAAAAAAATTAAACGAATACACATTTACATTCTAAAATATAAATCATCATTATCTACATCGCAGATTGTCGCAGCAAGTTCATGTTTAGCAGATCTTATTACGACCCCGTTTATTTACACTTCACAGTTTACAGTCTTCGTCTCGATAAATATGGAGCTATGCGACACTTCTGCTCCGGCTCGGCGATTTCTTTTTACGAGAAGAGCCCGCTGTTAATCAGGGACTCCAATAAATTTTAGCGTAGATAGTGTCGATGCGTACGCCAAAGGTGGAAAAAAGGGGCTTAAGTACACGCGAGAGGCGGCCTTTAAATCATGATCGAGATCGGACGCCATCGCCTGCCATATGGCACTGAACACGAGGCGCAGAAACATCCATTACCATCCGGACTTAGAACGGCGAATTCACCATTTCGCCTTATGGCGTTCCATATTCGTTTGTATTTGGCCGGTTTTCGAAAGATTTCTATTAAACAACCGAAAGGTGATCTACCGTAAAGGTGAAAACGGCCTAATAAATTATTGTTAATTTGTCTGAACGCGTGCCATAAAAATTGCTTCGTCGGAGACCGCAGCAATTACTTTGTTACTTCGCCGTGGTTTGCAGAAATGCGCTAATTATTCTTTAGTTCATTAATTAGGCTGTTCGAATTGTAGAGTAGGTTTTAAATTGGTTCGGTGATTTAATGGAAAAGAAATACTTGTGTGGATAATAAATGGTTATAAATGAGGCGGAATCATGAGAAATATCAATAAATCATTAAATAATTATTATTATTGCATTACATAGTATACATTATTATTTCGTTAATTCAATTATTAGGTTAAAATGTATAAAGTACAAGTTTTGTAATATTAAATTAATTAACGTAAAATTTACAGTAGTACTGTAAAATCTTGATATAACGGATTAATATGGGTGGGGAATTGTTTGTTCTTTGTAGCTTTTTTCGTTTGTAATTTAATCGGTTTGAATGAATAATTTTAATGGACACATTCAATCCTTCAAACAGTCATCCACACAGTTCCGTTCTGTACTAGTCAGTTCTATTTTTAGCCCAATAAAGATATCCACAATCTAGCACTGAATAAAAACTAAAACAAGAACTAATAGTAGCATTAGAACTAACTTTAGACCTAGAACTAGAAATATTCTGGTTTAGCCGTGGGCCTCTTAAGACATCTAAACACGAATGTTTCTAGTTCCAGATCTACTGTTAGTTCTACTTTCAATTCAATAAAAATATCCAACAATCTAGCGTTGAATAACAACTAAAAAATTAGAACTAACACTACACCCTAGAACTGGAAACATTCGTGTTTAGCCGTACGTCTCTTGGGTTGTGAGGTTTTTATAAGTACCTTTTCTAGTTTTAAAAACGTATTTTATTTATTAATAAATGTCTGCAATGTTAGGCTTACAAATCGTGCAGGGTCAATTGGTGTGCAGGATTTCTCCTAAGCTGGCAGTCGAATAATCAATTTTTTGAGATCGATTACTTTTGCTAAACTCAAAAACTAGGGCAAAATTGTGCCGATTTTACCAGAAATGTCATATTTATTAATAAAAGAAAATCGACGATTCTTCTACAGATAATCTGTCTGAAAATAAGCTTCTACTAGCTTCTTTAGATGTGAGTCCATTTCGTGGCAAAACTCAAAAAACGATCTTCCAATTGTTAACTTTAGTGCTTGCATTATTTCCATAATGCTTGTAGGACCGTCATTAAAATTACAAACGGCAATATCGGAAGCAATGCCAACCACTTTCTTGCCACTATGAACCGTTTTTGGTGCCATAGACCATAACACACCGTTGTAACTTTCATTATTATTATTGTGTGTGTCCCCCTAAAAATCTTATCAAAAGAGCTTGTCTGGAAAGTATAGGTTTCACAGCGTTAAAAACATCTTTGTCTATTGCTGGCTTATGGGTGTACTCGTCGATCTGTGACAAAGCATACGCCTTTTGCCAGGAACACCACGAGTCGACACCAATTGGACAATTGCCATGTTATGGATTTTCATCCATTGAACGTTTGTGAGATCTCTTTTTTCATAGTCTTTACAAAATCGTGATTTTTATGAATAGCCAATCCATAGTATATGGAAAGTTCATCAATTAATTTCCGCATTAATTTTCCTTTGCCCCTAGACCTCTGTTCCTTTTCTTTTTAATTTTGTAAATGCGAAAAAGCGAATGGGTGCACGTTCTTTTTTTGTCATTCTAATATTTTCATAAGATTTAGAGTCCATAATACCTTTGAAAGTTTTGCTGTCTCCGTCTCCTATGTACAAACAGTACTTCAAGTTATGCTTTTCTTCGAATCGTTAAAACTTCTCTATGACGGAATACACTTCCATTTTTCCTGAAGATCCGGTATGGTTTATATCACATTGTTCTTTGTGATCTTTGACCCAATTTTGGTATTTTGCAGTGCCTTCATTACCTTTCCAGTAACTGCACTTCTTGCAATTTTTTTGCTTTATTTCCAAATCAACTATTTTACCAGTACGCCATCCAATCAATATGGCTACCAAGTAGAGATAAAAATCCCCTCTTCTTCCATGTTCCGTCACCAGAAACTGTTATTCGTCCAAATTGGTTGTTCTGAATGGATAATTCTGTATCGGCTGACTTCGAAAAACATTTGTCGCGCACGTTTCTTGTTGCAAGTGCAACTTTTGCAATTTCTTTATCGTAAAAAGAATTTAAAACTGGATTCGGTAAACACATAAAAGCATAAAACTTTGTAATACCATTCACTCCAATACCAAGTAATCTCATAACAAATATTAATCTTCGATTGATGTCATAGGCATGATTGTCTATCAAAGGGCAAGATAATATATAACGCGGCGAATACATACCACATATAACGAACATTTTGAGACCCTACGTTGAACTGTTTCTAAAAATTTTATTTTTGATCCACATTCTTTGCAAACAGCAATGTTAGAAAGTGCAGTGAAAACAGAAACAAAATCAATAATGGTATCCAAATGCTGCATCAACGTTGATGTTGTAGTCATCTTCGCCCATTTTTATCTTCTTGGCTGCACTGGTCACACTCTCACTTTGATGTTTCAGAATATGACCATTGAAAGTTTTTCTGCCACGTACTGTACGTCTCACTGCACGATATGAAGAACCTCGTATTCCATTTTTACCAACCATACTTGCAAATATATTAGACGCACTTCGTAAACACTACTTTCGCCGTTGAAATGTGCGAAAAGCAAACTAAATGTCCAACCAATGTCAAACTAATGTCAAAATACCTACATATATATATAATCGAATGAAAAGGAAAGACAAAAAAGGTATAGGTGGCTTGGAATTATTCAGTGCAAGATTGTTGGATATTTTTATTGAACTGAAAGTAGAACTAACACTACAACTAGAACTAGAAACATTAAGGTTTAGCTGTCTTAAGAGACGCACGGCAAAACCCGGATGTTTCTACTTCTAGGTCTAGAATTAGTTGTAATGTTAGTGTTAATTCAAGCTTTAGTTATTATTCAGCGTTAGATTGTTGTGACTTAAAAATATTTTGTCTGTTATATCCGAAATCCGTTCTAACGTAGTCCGTTACATCGAGCTTTTACTGTATTAAATTTAAGAAATGTTGTGGAAATTTTACCGGGAAAACAAAAACTATTACTATTTGTACGTCATACATTATAATTATTTGAAGAAAAAAAGTTGCATATAAATTAATATTTAGAACGGTAATAATATGGCTGTGCTGCGTAACTTTTAATCACCATTTATTATATTGGTATGATGAAATAATGCGTTATGTTAGAAACATTTTTAAAATGGGTGATTTTAATAATTACAACTAGAAATGATAATAAAATATTGTCATACAATATTTAGTAATTACACTTAAATGGTGTTAAATAAAAAATTGAAATTGTCTGAATGCCATTATAAGAGTACAAGTTTCTCATTATGATTTATCCCACACAACATAAAGTAATTTACAAACTGAAATTAGATTTTCTGAAAACATGCATTAATACAGTTTATAAAGAAATTTTAATTAGAACTGTAACAATTTGTATTTGTAACGAAATTCCGCGAATTATTTCAATTTACTTCAGTTATGATGTAATGTAAGGCGTTATTGAATCAAAAACAGCTTTTAGGTAAACCCATAAATTCAATTAAAACTAGATTTTCCAAAGAATTTTCAATTTTCGTTTTTAATTTAAAAATTCTTTAACCAGTAAAGCAAACGATAATCACTTAACAAGACTCAATCCGACTTACGTAATCCCGCAACCTGTAATAACGATTACCAGCGATGTTGTATTAACGACTTTTTATCAAATTTTCTTTCCCAAATAGATAAGCAACGCGATAAGTCCATGTTCTACATGTCATACGTTTAATGTGTACCAACAATTACGTAATAATTCTTTGTATGTATACACAAATTGCGCCATGGACATAAATCAAAGTAGTTTTTTTTTGTTGTTCTTTGCTAAGTACAACCACGCCGAGCGATTCTTTACAATCGATTGGTATCGTATCGTTCGAATTGAATTACTAAGCCGCCGACTCGCGAACGTGGCGCTGATTTGCTTTAGGTTCTAATTGCTCATTTGGTCCCGACCAATTATCAATCCATTCAGGAATCGACATTGTCCGAGCTATATAAACCGAGCTTTCACCATATTTTTATCATCCCAACCACGCACGCCCGATATAATCAAATTACCGTTTATGTGCTCGCAATTAATATCTGTTACTTGCATTATATTAGTCTAAATAGATTGCCGTCACTGATAATCGTCGGAGTCTTAATAGTTTCAGCTGCTGTCTGTCGATTTGTCGGTTATAAAAGTGTCGAAATTGTTAAGATCGTTATTTTAAAACCGAAAGGGCCGAAGAAAATCAACGGTAGCCACATCTGTTAGCCATCGGAATGATGCGTTAATGACGGTTTCCGTCTCAGGTAGGTAAAAAGAACTTCT